GGGAAACTTTTAAAGTTGTTTAAATGTGAGTTTTGGTCAGTCTCCTGCAGACTTTAGAGTGGGAAAATGAATAATAATATCTGTCAGTTGAGTGGCGGCGTCTACTTTTTTCTTTGTCTGCCAACGTCTGTCTTTACGCCTGATTCGTTACGCAACTTTGGCCAGGTAATTTCGCAGGCAGTTGAAGCAGTGGGGTTGGGCGGGAGACAGGATCACTCTGAAAGGCAGTGGAGCGCACAAAAGTGGGCAACAGTTGCCGGGACCTTCTCGAGTCGAGTCCTGGCCACTGAGAAAAAGTCAGCCACTGCCACTGGCGGCTCCACAAAAACTTGTCACTGGCATTCCGGCGCTGACAGTTGGCGTGCACTTCTGCCACTGACAGATGCATTTATTTATCTTCTTTTTGGCCAGGGGACTGTGGGTCAGAGATGAACCCACCACGGCTCTCAACTCCAGTTGAAGCAAACTGTAAGTTAAACATTCGTTACGTTGGTATTTTCCATTAGCCCAGCGAGCGAATGAAAATGCTAATATGGAATAGTTTATCCGAGCAACGGAAAACTTTCAAAGCTAAATTAATACCGCTGTTGCGGGATGTTGGCATGGATCAAATATTTAATTATCCAAAATTAGGAAATGGCCTTCAAAGTGCATTACGTACCCTTTCCAGCTTGCCACATCAAATTGAGCTATTTGTACATTTTTCACTTTTGGCAAAATAGTTTTTATTGGTTACAGAAGCGAAATTAAATAGTTTGGCTGCAAACTGTTATATATTTATTACTTACCAGTTGATTAACTCGTTTAAAATTCCGCAAATTAATTTTTCAAATATTCTACATAAAAGCTTATCAAGTTCACTTAAACTTATCGCCTTTCTGCTTTTATTTAATGTTTTCCCCTTTCGACTTCAGGCACTTAGGTCCGGCCATCCAACAGAAGAAAATACAAATTTCTTCGTTTACAATACAAATTATAAATAACGATTTATCATGAGCTGCAGTGGCAGTTGCATTTGCCAATTGCCCACCTGAATGCGTTCTGAAGTGCCTCCGCATCCTGCCTGCAAGGATGCAGGGAATTGCCCTGACCGAGGACAAAATCCCTGAACTGAAGTTTCTTGGCTGGTGGAAATAAATTGCCAATGGCAACGAGAGCCTCACTTCACCTTTTGTTGCTTGATTTTCCCATATAGATATATACGAGTATTTTTCCTATTTTGTGCCAGCCAGACATGAGTTGATTTGGAAAATGTTTCTGTTCAGCTCACTTTAAGAGGCTGCCGAGGCAACATTTAAATTGCACTGCTCGCCAAAAGTGCGATTCGAAAGGAACTTCAACATAAACTCGGCACATTTGCCGCTAATCGCTTCCCCACAGACGCATTAACAATTTATCTTGCCTTATTTTATGCGAAAAGTTTTCGCCCAGCCACATCCACAGGCACGGCGATGTGTAACCGCATCTTTCACCTTCTGCCACCGAAATCGAATCCCCGAAAAGAAAAACATTTGAATTGAAAATCGTGCTGAGCAGCGGAGGAAAATGCCAACGACATGCGCATAATTTCAGCACACACAGGCATCGCTTTCCACGAGGGAAATGTGAGTACGTGAATGCGAGAATATGGCGAAGGGATTGGTCGGGGCATTTGGATATTGTGTCTGAGAGCCTTAGGTAGACCTTTGGGTCCTTCGATAAGGGGAATGTATATTTGCTAGCTTTAGGAGCGAAAAAGTTCGATCTGCACTTTGTTTGTGGTTCTGTGTGGAAATGGAGCAGAGGTCGATACAGAAAACTCACCAAGTGCTAAAGAAAATTTGAGAACTAAAACAAAAAAAAATTTAAAAAAATAAAAATAATCGTATGGTTCACCTTGTGTTTATATTTGCTATTTAGTTAAACCTTAAAACCATTCTTATTTTAAATTCAGTTCCTTACTCTGTTGATCCCCCTCCGTTATTGTGCGAACATTTTATCATTAGTTGTAGATATCTCTAAAATGTAGAGGTGCCTAAAAGTATGCATCAATATATTTTTAACCCAAAAGAGGTATAAATTTACACAAAAAGGCGCTTTCTATTATTCACTGCTTACTTTTAGACACATAATTTGACATTTAAAGGAGATTTCAATATTTATGTTACGGATTTTAAAACTATTTGTACGTTGCTACTTTGATTTGCAGTCACATCCAATTAAGTATTAACTCAAAGCATTTCAGCGATTTTTAAACAGATTTTAGCCAAATCCCCCCATTTCCATGGACAGTTGCCATTTCAATTCCAACAGCTGCCAGTTGCCACCGACTCGAGAGCAGAAAGTCCAGTTCATTTCATTTTGGCCCCATCAGATCCAATAAATTCGTAAAAAAAAATGTGCCAATAAATTGCTGTCTCCACTATCCACAAGCTGCGAAACTGAAACTAAAGTTAAATTGAATTAAAATTCAGAGCGCTTAATGTGCCACAAACACACAGGACACTCACACACACAGACACACATCCGCTGGCAGTCTTCACATGTCGCAGATTTTTCAATAAACTAAACAATTTACGAAAATTGAAGTTTATCTCAATTGTGCAGCTGTTGTTGACAACGCTCCCTACACTCGACGCTTTGTCGCCGAGGACTCAATTTGGCAATAAACTGGCACTCAGCGAGCTCAGGGCCGATTGCCCCGCCCCCAAAAGCCCCTATACCATATAGTATAGTATGGTATTCAATATATATGAGGCACGATCCTGGGTCCTGTGAAGTGGTGCACAAATGCGCTTAGTTGCTTTATTGGTCAAGCTGTTGTGCGTGGATAAAACCCTTTTAGTGCACAATTGCTATAAATTCGCTTGGCCCATTATATTGTTCGATGGTTGGGAATGGGAAACTGGGGAATCTGGGGAAATGGGGAGCTGGGGACCCATTGTCATGTGGGGAATGGAGCGGCAGACCAAGTCGATGATGTCGATTGACGGAAGAGCTTATTTTAATCTCATTTGACAGCCATGGGTGAAGAACCCCAAGCGAAGAAGGAAACTATTCTGGGGGTGAGGACAACAGCTGTTGTGGGTTGGGCCTGGGTCATTTGATAAACGGACATTTCGCCAGGGTCAAAGGGTTCGTCGTCTCTCGCAATATAATTTGCCATGATTAAGTTTGGAATTTGCATGGACCGGCCTGACACATTTTGATGACCCAAGCATTTGAAGGCGCTCAGCAGTTTGGTGTTAGTTTATTGTCGACAGAGGGTTCATCTTGGCCATTTTGGGCGATTTTCGCACATGGCCTCGTTTCTAGCATAATTAAGATTTGGGTTTAAGTTTTTGGAATGGTGGTGGGGCCTTTTGGTATGACCTTTAATTGGATCCTTTTGTGCGTTTGCATTATGGTCAGTTGAGCAGCCAAATACTCAAGTAAATGAAAAGTCCTAAGTGAATTTATAGGTCAAATGATGCTGCTAAGAGCTGATAGGAGAATTACGGTAAATTGGTAAACCATGCGGATAATAATCATAAAGCCTCATAGGCAGTTTATCAATTTAAGCTTAGTGTTACGTGGTAGTTAGTATAAAAGAGGTAGTTTCCTAGCATTAGTTTACTGAAGGTTTGAATGGCTTTTGGTAAACTTTCGGGTTTTTTCCATGTAAACTGATGATCCAATGGAATCCTGTAAACCTTCGATTTTTTCACCCCAGCTGGGCAGCTTAATTGCATTCGGGTGCCTAGATAGGAAAGTAAGAAGTAGCCAAAGCCAGGGAAATGGTTAGAAAGGCAAATAAACAGACAGCAGAGACGAGATGAGGAAAAGGAGGAGCTGGGAAAATTCATTATGTACTGGCCCCACGACTTAGTGGTAAGTGTACGTATGGCATCGGATCTTGGCCAACTACTACGTTCGAGCCAAGCCAACCCAAGCCAAGCCAATCCACTTCAGCACCTCGGGCTTGTGTTGCGGTTTGGCGCTTGTTAATTTTGCAGTGAAAATTGCTTTGGTATTTACAGTGCACTTGGCCAGAGGCGCATTACGGGCATGCCTCAAGGTCCTTCAAGCGGAGTCCTGCCTTCCCCTTCTATGTTTGCCTTATGCAGCTAGTATTTGCCCTAAACTCTCTCCTTTCCCTCTGCCATCGACAGCTGTTAAACATTTTCACGTGCAGTCCGCAGACGATGCCTGATTGTATTTGCCCTCTCGTCCTGGGCATCCTGCCATGCCATTCACTCATCTGCAGCGACTAATCAAGACAGCCACTTAATGCCACAAAGTATGCTACTCGGAATTGTGTAACCCACTTATCTTTAAGCTAATTTGTTTCTCAGGTTCGAGTTCTCCTTGCGACAGGACTTATCAGCCTTATATCCCTCAGCTTCTTTATGGCCGGGGCATTTCATTACCGACCAAGACGCGACCATAAAACAGTGCTGCATAAAAAGTGACCCCTACTTCGCCATCTTCCATCTCGCGCGCAACACGCAAAAGTACTCAAAGCGAATAAAACAAAAGTAACTATAATAAATGTTTGCAAATAAATTGCGAGCTGCTAGAAAACACAGCACAGCACGGGCAGCCACACAAAGAAGACTGGAATTCGCTTTTCGTTTTCTTCAATTTTTGTTGCCTTGACATTAAAAAAGTTGAAGCGCTCCGCTTTCTTCGTCCTCGGTTGAGGGACAAAATCTGTTTTATGTCGAGGAATTTGTGAAATTTTGTGACTGATGACAGAGAGCGAGGAGATGGGGAAATCTTCTGTCAGTTTTCCCGGGGCACTCTGAATGGTCAGCGGGAAGGTGGGACAGATGTCCGGGATGTATCTGAATGTCTGCCAGGAGTCCTTTTATCTTTGGCCCTAACAATAAGTATGTAAATCAGCCACAAATTATTGCCGTTGCTTCTTTGGTTAACAGGGTTTTAGGAGTTCTATATTTTATATTTGTACTATATTGTAAGGATTTCTTAACAAATTGTTATATTTTGAGGCTTTCATGTAATATATTTTTTAACTACTTATTTATCAATTATGTAATTGTAATGTATAAGCGACTGAATGTGCACATAAGTTGTCCCAGCACTTTCCTGATCTTTTCAAATATCCAGTGCTAAATCAACCTATGGGCACAAACTGTCCTCTGTCATCCTCGACTTGCAGAAGCAATTGTAGTCTTCGGCGGCGGCCAGGAGATCGTCGAGGAAGAACTGAATCATTTTGCGCTCAAGTTGCTTCCTGGCCATGTTCTTATTGGCCATGATTCGCCTTATGAAGTCCTTGCAGAATCGGCTGCGCTGGCTCTCACGCAGGACATTCATGCTGATGCGACGTTCTAGGTTGATATTTAGGGATTTAACTTAAAAATCAAATTTTCGATCAAATTAAAGGAGTAACAACTTACTGGTTGAGTAGTTCAGGTGGACCTTCTCCACATGTTTATCCCTCATCGACTTGTCGTACACCAGGATCGTTCGCTGCAAACGGGGGCCAATATTTTTCGGTAAAGTGAACTCGGTGTTGGGAAGGTTCTCTGAATAGGGTCCTGGATAAGGCGCTTTGGAATAGCGTTCGGACCTAAGGAACTCCACTCGCCGGTCGTTGATGAAGGCTCGCTTCATGGCAATGGCCGCTCGTACCCTTCCGTTATGGAAGCGGTAGCCAAAGGTGGTGGACAGGTCCTCGATCTTTGACAGCAAGCTGGGAAGAAGGAGTATTGGTGTCAGTAATTAAATACTCGATTTCTGGTATTATATATTAAATACAAGATTTCTGGTAATACGTACTCAGACTCTCTTAGCGCGTAGACTCCCGGCAGCATGTGCTCCTTCCTCATCTTGTAGAGCTTCCTGTAGAGCACGCTGAGCATGTCCTCGGCGTACTGCATGCGCAGCGACTTCATGCCCTGGAAGTCCTGGAAGTACTGGCGCGTCACCCAGCCGCGGTAGAGGGCCTGGATCTTGGTGGCCATGTCGTGGTGGTACTGCCTGATCCGCTGCTGCAGCAACTGCTGGATGAGGGCGAACTTGAAGCGGCGCACCCAAAAGCCGCGCCACCACTTGGCAATCGTGGTGGCCGCCTTGTTTTCCTGCTGGAGATTTCTTCGGACCAGAAAGCCCCTCACGTGACACTGAATCGTCCTGGCCGCCTTGAACTGCTTGTAATCGAGGAGGGCCAGCTGAAGGCGACAGGATGGCCCGTAGCAGGATTCGGAGCTGCTGCCCCTAGACTCTTCGCACAGCCCGCTTGAGTAGTCCATGTCCTGGCTGCCCGTAGTCAGATCGCCTTCAATCGTATAGTTTTTGGACCCTCCCAAAAACGAAGGACATTGCAGGAACATAGTCATGTGTTTTTTATTTATGTTTTACTTAGTGTCTTTCTGTGGTGTAGAGTTCCTAGAATATATTTTGACATAAATATTTATGCAACTCGAAAAGGAAAGCTATATTGAATATTTTTAAGCCAAAGAATTCTTATAAAAATGCCAGAATAATATTCTGTTCCCCCAAGATTTGTTAGTTACTCAAAACAATCCACTTTGCCAACTTATCGCGAATAACACTGATTCAGCCTGAAATGCTTGGTTTACTTTACGGCGGTATTTGTGCACAATATCGCTTCTATTCCCGATGATGAGTATTAAGTTCACTTGGCACACATATCTTGACTGGTTGGGGTTTTCCCCTCCCCCGATTTCACCAGGAACCAGGTCGCATTTCGCTTTTCCGCCGCAGAAACCACCGAATATGGGACAGGAACTCCACTCCGAGAGTCGCAGTCAAGCTGTCAGTCAGCCAGGAATACGTGGCAGTCAGCACGGGGTGAGTCTCCTTTCGGGCGCATTTGCAGCTTAAAGGATTTACATTGAATACTGAATGCTGATACTTCATATCAGTTTAGTTTGCTCTCCCTCGAAAACCCCCAAAAAAAAGAACACCCAGCAAAAATCTTCGATTTCCATAAGTGAATTTCACCCAGTGCACACACAGGCATGTCAAGTAGGCAACCCTGCAAACCGCCTTACACACATGTGCCCCACTGTCCCCGGCAGTCGAAATCGAAATGGTGTCATGTACGAAATGTGGAAATCGTGTTGTACAATTTCATGGCTTGGCTTTTGCCAATTTCCCATGTAAAGTCAGTCGGCTTTTCGTGTGGCGCCAAACTCTCAGTATCAGTCTTTCGCCCTGCCACGCCCCCTTTTTTGCCCCCTTTTCGCGGTGGCAACAGCAGCGCGTATTTGGTTTGCTAATGGGCAACTTTGGCCTTTTAAATCAGTTGGAAAATGCACTGTGCGTGTGTTTTGTTTTGCACAGACTCCGAAATCCATTGCAGCTTAAAGCGTCCATCAATGATTTAGAGTCGAAGACGGTAAATCCTGGCGGGGATATTGAATTTGATGATGATTGGAGTTGAGTTGTCAAGAAGGAAAACTGTCTCCGAAGCGGATAAGCGAGCGTCGAAAGCATTAACATTTGAGTAAATAAATTGGAATTTTAGAAACAGTAAAATCCGAGATAAAAAAAAGACTTACTTTATCTAAGGACCTTTCATAATATTTTTAAGAGTATTTTTTAATACATCACATAGTAGAATCGGAAAAATTAGTATTAATTAGAAATAGAAAAATAGAAAGGGATAAAATAAATACTTGTTCCAATTTTCAGGATCTGCTTTTCCAAAAATTCACAAACTTGTTTATCACTTAATTAAGGAAGAAAAGCGAGGAAAATACCTCAAACTTTTGCAGGTAAATGGCAGCAGTCTGTCATATTATGGTAATAATAAATTCACAAATTCCTCAGCTTTCAATCCCATTTCTAATCCTTTTTCCCTCTCTGCTCATCCATTTTTCAGGTTGATTCGGAAGCCGACTCTCCAGTTCAATCATCAGCCGGCAACATTGTGGAATTCCCATGCAGGAAGAGGAAAGCCGGGGAGGAGGGAATCGAAGTCATATAAAATACATAGCAGCAAAGTGGAAAAATTGTGGAAAACAGGAAATGAATATGCAAAAAAGGCCAGAGAAGGGATATGAAAAATGCAAATAGCCAAATCGAGTTCAATGAGAAATGCAGCTAACCCTAAACCGAACGTATTTACACAATTTCACATTCACATTCACATGCAAGGTGGAATAGGTTCGGGGTCCGAATACAAATGCGACTCACTGTTCAGAGGGCTAATTGTGGCTGACTGGTAAACCGAAGAAAGCAGGAGCGCCAAATGAAAAATGCATTAAATGCAACCGCAAAATAGAGCAAAAAGTAAAACCAATCAAGCGACAAAAAAAGGGGAAAAACAGAAGTAAAACAGAGGAAATTGCACATACTGAGCGCAGAACAAAACAAAAGGATGACAAAACCAGTTAGCGAATGTAAAAATTGATTTCTGCGGTCTGGATAGAGCGGATATTGCTTATATATGACCGTAAATCGCTGGCGAAGGGCGAATCGCAGCGACATAAACATTAACCGATTTATAAATAAACAAATACATATGCAAAATGCAGAAGCCAGCGCTCAAACTACGAAGACTCTTCATCATTACCGCTGTTTACATAGCCAGTTTGCCAGGTGAGTTTGTTTAAGGCGAAAATCAAATATTGTCACGCCCCCAACTCACTGTTTTTCACTATTTGACCACATGCGAGCTTTAATTTAAATGTCACACAGTTTGTCTGAATTATTAATCGAAAATTATGGCCACGGGGAGTGCAGATCACAAACTGGGCAAGGAATTTGCCACCCACAGGTTGACTGCTCTGCCCACATCATTTGCGGTTCAATTATGTTTGCGGTTAGCATTTGTGAAAACGTTTCAATTCCGGACGCGTTCTCCCCTTTTTTATTTTGAGTGAAACGCTATGACAAATCGAATTAAGCCCCAAAAAGTAGCAACCAAAATATAACTGAATTGGTAGCTTTTTTTCTCGGTTTTCTACTTCGAAATTGAAATAGATTTTTTTAACCGCACTTTTTATAGATTTTATTGTTTAAGGTTACTAGTCCTTGGATTGACATTTCCATTCAATAGAAAAAAATATTGGTTCGTAACACCGGGTTTTTAATGAATAACAATCGGCTTACCAAGCTGAAAATGAGCCATAGAAACTTCTTTGTTTGCCGCCCTTTTTGTTCAGAATAATATCGTACGTCAATTAAAACTACACCGACTGACATTTGTTAGGTATTCCACCTGCAGAAAACTAAAAACCCATTGTATTTTCCTAGGTTAACTTTCCCTAGCGAATTCACTTCCATTGTTCATAGCTCTGCTGTCATTTATGCGATATTATAAAATCCTTCCATATCTTTTGTCCGTCAAAAGTTCCTGGCCATTATTCATTACACAACAGCATTTCATTAATATTTTTCCAAGACATTAAATTAATATCTGCGCCTGCTAGCCAGGCTTAACTTTACATGCAGCTCTTTGTTAGTCACTCTTCACGTTTCCCGGCTCCAAATGCAATATGATTCGGATTTCATTTCAATTTTCCGGCTTTTCTCCGGACTTTTTCCCTCGTCTGACACTCCGGGCAAAATAGCTGCTGCAATGAGTTGTCGCTTTGTCTGCATTTCCGGCAGCTTTAATTTCGTTTCATATTCCTTTGGCTTGTCGACATCCCCCTCGCTTTTCATTGTGAGATTGGGACATAATAAAGTTGTAAAAAGAGGCGCTCATAAATCCCTGGCATTTTATATTAAAAACTGAGAGATTCGAGCAGCTCGTCGAGCTGAACTTGAAAGTCGTTCCGGCACTTTTTTTTGGGAGCCGCCTTTAAAGGAATCACGGAAGCGGCTGCTGATATAGGGCAATTCATTACAGCAACTTCCGTTTCCGGTCTGGGCCAGATCCACACTTCAGTTTGCTTTTAATTTGGGCTAGTCCCGTGACTCCTGCTTCTGCTTCTCCAGCCGGCTGGCATTTGGCCAAGGAACGTGTTCCCTCGCCCACCCGTCTGGGCCAAAAAAAGCACTCGTATCAGCCGGCGAAACAAAGGGGAAACGGCGACAGGACCTGCTAAAAACTTCCAATCACGTCCCGCGGATCCTTCACTAGACACGCATTTCAATGGCCAACATCGAGGCGGGCCTTTGAGAGTGTCTGGGCGTGGAGCACATTTTAAAACAAATGCAAGGCCCAAAAATATCATTGCGAGGTGGGTTTTGTATTTTATTCTGGATTTAACCAAGGATTGAAATTTATTACAAAATTGTAATTATCATAATTCATAATGACCAAAATATTCACATAAAGTCTTGTTTGAGAATATTCAACTGAATTCTTTGTCAATGTGAAATGGTATTTTTTGAAATAAACCAAATTACTGAAAAATTTAAAACAAATTAATTTATCTTTTTTAGACAACATAAAGAATTTTGTTTTTCATAGTTTTTTTGTTCACTTACTTTTTGGGATAATAATTTTAACTTCTCAGTCGCATCTCGCAGGCTCTTTCGCTTTGTGCCCCGTTTCGCCAGAAATGGCTTATTATTTCTGATATTTTTGTTTAGCGTTTTGCTGCCACCCCCTTTTGGGGGGATTTCCAGTGCTAAACTTTTGACACCCACACATACCACACACACGTCCGACACACACACACACACTCGCACACTTGTTGTTGTGACACGCACGCGATGCATGTGGCGTCTGCCGGAAATGCCAAGCTCAACGTCCAAGAGCAAGAACAACAAAGCCAGGAATCAACTGTTGGCATGTTGATGTTGACGCTTCGCCTCTGCCACCCCACAGCCGCCCACCACCCACAAACACCCACTGACACCCATCAGCCACCCATTCTCTGCCCCGCTTAGCTGACATTTTTGCCAGCGTAATCACGATTAAACTGTCAACGGCATACTAATTAGATTTTTATTTTTATTGCGCCATGACAACGCCGCGTGACGTTGTCGCGTCCTTCCGCGTCCTGCAGCTCACACAGGCCCCCATCTCCCCCTTTCCCACCCATCGCCCTTAAGTGGGCGGGGTCCCTGCTTAGCTACTCGTTCTATGCCCTTGCAAAGGGTACTGTAATTCTCAACTGCTAAATTATGATAGGTATTATTATTATTTCTTTTTAAATGAAAAGTATTCTAGCTTGTATTTAAAATACTTTTTTTAAATACATTTAAAAAGAAACGGATAAATGTTTTAGGAATAATAAGACCATATATTTATGATTCTAATAACTTTGATGTTTTTGATTGTAATTTTAATTTTTAAAAAATAAATAATTAATATTTTTTAAGAATTCAAGGGTATATAAACTTCGGATCTCCTCAATTTTCTAGACTTCTTATTTTTTTGCTCTTTCTGTGCTGTTGTCGTTCTGAGAGGAGCGCGTGCCTCGCATGACCAAGTGACATTGCAAACGGTGGGTGGTGGGCTGTGGGTGGTGACCCCGGGAGAGGATCCTGTCCCGGCCAAAAGGAAGAACCAAAATCCAGACCCTTGGCCAGGCACTTTGTGGCGCCTGCTACTTTGTGATTTATGTCTTATCATATTTATGAAAATTATTGTTATTGATGGCATTCAATATTAAGTGAACGGGAGAAAAACAAGACAAGCCAACCAATTCACTTTGATTGATTGAAAGATTGAGAGCGTAGCATTTTCGTAATTGATTTAAAATGTGTGGCTTCCCTCGGGCATATTAAGTAGGTCAGATGCCAGAAATGCTTATCTCCAAAGATTGCACTTAATATAGAGGCGACTTGGAAGCGGAATATTTATTTTTGTATAGTTTAGCACAAAGAGTAAAATAAAACGAAATCCTACATTTTAAAAGCATTGTTGAACATAAAGTTTATTTTAAATTAATATTCAATCCAAGAATTATTTAATGAATGAATAAAGTCGGTAAATTTATTCCTGATTAGTACAATTAAGTGCAAAACAGAAGCACTAGACAATTACTTCGTTTTTGCCTCATGGAAAGTTGAATATTATATGCTCCAAGTAGTCCGTAATTGTGCTTAAGACATAAAGAAACTCGCTGGCTAAATTATGTTTTCTCCTTAAATTTCTAGACGTCCTTTCTGTATTATTTCCTCTGCTCCCATTTAGCACTACAATTTCTAAGGGCAGCGCCCTTCTTTTGGCTAGAGAACGTTTTTTGTTCGGTTTGTTTGTTAGGGTCTATTACTTCCAAGCTGTTGAATGCGTCATCAAGAAATCCCCCAAGCCGAGTTCCAACTTTAAGCCATACACACCTGTGAAAAGGCACCCCTTCCCCTTCCCTTACCTTCTCGACGCCTTTCCTTTGTTTATATTTTTTCAGATTTATTTTCATTAAGTTCCCGTACAGGAAGGAAAATGCTTTATTGTTGCTGCTGGCTGGTGTTGTTGGCTCACTGGACCAAGTGCTAATGCGGCCAGACAATAGGGGCGTGGCATGGCTGCGAAAAACAAAGGCCAATACAAACAAAAAATGGAGTAGGTATATATTATATATATAGTACTACCCACCCATATATGTACAAAAGCAGGAGGTAAATTTAATGAAAGTGCGCAAATTATTGAGGGCACAATACCATTGCCGACATCATGGTTATTGTTGAACTGCCAATTATGAAAGCGGAAATGCTTGTGCTTTCAACATAAAATAATTATTGGGTTCGACAGAAAGAAAACAAGCTTTTGCCAAACATGACTTAATTGGCAAAAAAAGTTGATAAGAAATAGGAGGATTTTGCTGCAAAATACCTTCGATTTGAGCGCAATTTAAATACTCCTGTCTCTCTTGAGGCAACAACAAATTGATGCAACTAAATAAATGTTTTTCATTTCCTAAAATGCTATTAACATAGCCAACATGGTTTTGGGGTTGTTGACCTGAACCAGGAAAAGAACGGTCTACTGTTGGGTGCACAACGGTGGGAACTGTTCTTCCGTTCTCCGATTGGGACTTGAAAATACGCTGCGGTAACCAGAAGCATTTTCTGGATCTTTAAATGGTGATCTCGACAGATGTTCTGATAGCTGAATGAGTTGATTATCCCTATTCAAATATTGGTTTTGCTAGAAAAAGTTTAAAAATATTTACCAAAATAATCAGACAAATTGAGAACGCTTTATAATTACGTAATGTCCTTGATAAAGCTGTTGAATCTGCGAACTGCAGAGCGCAAGAAAACGCAGCTCTGCTGCAATAACAATATTTTAAGAGCGGGTTTGGGAAGCATCTTGAGATCGATGGAAACATATTGTTTCAGTTTCACTGGTGGTCACTCATTGATACTCCATTGTAATGAGAGCATCCGGCTTTATTAATATAATTGTGTATTGCATTTCCTGATAACGATTTTGAGAAATTCTTTTAAAGCCGATTGTGATGTTTATTGTTTCCATTTTGCTTTGTTTTTTATAGGACGCCAGTGAATATTCTACTCTGGAAAATTTTATAAAATAATAAATAATCATCTTAAATAATAAAAAATATTCTATAACAAATAAAAGTTACAAATTAAGTTCTTATATTTTACTTATAATTCGTAAACATTTAACAGGATTTATTTATGCTTCAGTAGATTCATGATTCACAGCACGAAAAACATTTCATGTCAATTTC